AAACAATTAAATGTAAAAACATGAGAGTCTGCTTACATACTTCCACACAAAACCCAACAATATATTGCAAGTGAAAAAGCAAAGTACAAAATAGAATTAGAACATGGTCTCATTTTTGGACACAATATATTTGCTCATTTCTTTTTTTCAAGCCTACCTTTTCTTCAGAATTTCCTGGGATGTTTGTTAAAACGTATCCCTGGGGCCATCAGGTAGCATGGTGGTTAAGGCACGGGATTCCCACATGCCCAACCATGGTTTGAGTCTCGGATCCAGTGGCTTGAAACTCATGCCGGGTATGTGTGCATGCACGCCCAAAATCCCAAGAGAAGAGAGGAAGAGAAGGGATTGTGGCATGGCTATCCCCGCTGGGCGATGATTTCTCACTTTTCCTCTCACTGTCTCTCTCTCTCCTATGCAAGCGCATGCACCCTGTGGCCAAAAAGCCTTAAAAAAAAAAAAAGAAAAAAAAAAAAAGTATTCCTGATCTATCCCAGACCTCTTAGACTACAGTCCCTAGGAAGATGATCAAGGAAATTTGTGTTTTTATTCAGGGACCCAGGCTGATTCTTCTATTAGGTAAATTGAAGCAATTGTGACCTAATCTAATCCTGTCTAACCCCTCTCTGTGTGTGTTGTTATTTAGATCCTGGGAAGCTCTGGGACCTATCTAAAGTAACAGCTACTTAGTGGCAGAATGGAGCCTAGAGTTACATGTGTTCTAGACCAGACAAGCAATCCCTTTCCCGAGCACCAATTTATACAGACCACTCCTCTCAAATTAGATTCTCGGCAACCTCTTACTACGTCTGTGAGACAGGTAACAGAATTCTCAACGCCATTATTTCACACCCAGTAAAAATCTTTCTTTGTTGACAGCAAATGGAAAGTTTTTCCATTTCCACCGTTCCCTAGCAATGTGACATTTTCAAACAGTAGCACAAAATTCTTTAAATAGAAAAGATCCATTTCCACTCTATCGTGACTCAGTAACAGCCACGGGATTCTTCTCAAACTTTCCTAAAAATGTCATCTTTGGGCTGGACTCAAGAGGAACGTTTCAGCCAAGGAGACACATTTTCCACTCTGTCAGGAATGAGCGAGCATGGGCTTGGAACATAAAGTGTTTTGCAATCCTCAGAAAAGTAATACTTCTTACCAAAACCATGGTAACAACTCTGTGTGATGCCGTCAGAGCTTGGATCATTCAAGAGCCTCTTCTAATTGGAGACTTGACTCAGGCTATCACCTGTGTTGCTCCAAACAGTCCCCCAGCTACCTGTCGGCTCCAGGAAGAGAATGGTACCCTGCATGACTGTTGCCATGGAGACACTGTGGACAGCAATTCTAAACTGAGTATCCTTCATGTTGATTTACGTAGAGAGCAGGCAGCGTGAAACATGTTCTGGCCTCCCCCCAGTTCTTCATTTAAAAAAGAGCCTTCTCGGGGGCCAGCAGATGGCATTAATGGTTAAGGAGTTAGACTACCACATGGTCAATGAGGTTCGAGTCCCAGACCCAATGGCATGAAACCCACGCCAGGCATGTGTGCCCGTGTGCCCAAAATCCTGAGAAGAGAATGGAGGAGAAAGGATTACAGCATGACCATCCACCCCAGGGGGTAATTTCTCACTTCATCTCTCTTTATCTCTCTCTCTCTTTGGCAAGTGCACACTCCCTGTAGCAAAAAACTCTCAAAAATAAATAAATAATAAATAAAAAGAGCCTTCTCAGAGCCAGCAAGTGGCATGGTGGTTGCAACACTGGACTCTGACATGGCTGACCATGGTTGAAGTCCCAGACTCAGGAGCTTGAAAATCACTCTGGCCTCATGTGCATGCGTGACCAAAATCCCAGGAGGAGAATGGAGGAGAAGGGACTATGGAGTGGTCATACCCCCTGGGAGGTGATTTCTCACTTTCCCCTGTCTCTGTCTCTCTCTAGGGAGAAAAATAGAAAGCCCTTCTCTCTTCAAATGAGGAAGTACATTAAAACATAGGGTATAACTTGTTAAAAAAAAATAAAAGTTGTAATTTTATTCCCAACACAGTTCTATTTGGAACTCGCACCCATAAGACAGAACATTAGAGTTTAAAATCATGGACTGGAAATTTACTTGCCTCACTTTGTAACGCTGGGCAATGGGAGCTGTAACATGGGGTACTAGTGCGTACCCCTACGGGATGATTGGGAGATCTCAGTGATAGGATTTATATATAAACTTTGGTAAGGCCAGCAGGTAGCATGGTGGTTAAGGCACTGGATCCCACATGGCCAACTCCACTGTTTGAGTCCCCAGCCCAGCAACTTGAAAAACACACCAGGCACATATGACTGCATGCCCACATCCTGAGAGGAGAATGGAGAAGAAGGTATTGTTGCATCGCCATTTCTCCCGGGGAGTGATTTTCAACCCCCGCCCACCCAACCAGTCTGTCTCTCTCCGGCAAGCACACGTACTTTATGGCAAAAATCTAATAAAAACAGAACAAATAACAAAGCTTAGATCCTGAGACAGGCACTTACTAATTCTCTTAACAATGAATCTCTTTTAACTTCCTTAACAGAAATTATCCTTGCCAGGGAGAAGGGAGAAAAACTAAAAGAAGGGAACAGGAAGACAAAATAACTCATCTGTGATGCATTCATGATGCAGCCTCTCCTCCGTACGTCATTTCCGGCTTCCCCACCTCAGTCTGTGTGCTATGATACCGCTATGCCTTCAGTCCCTTCTTCCTGTGAATGGTGCGACCTCCGCACATGGCCGATGATGAAAGCAACTGTGACTTTTCAAAAGGTGCAGTTTCGTTTTCCCTCCGCAAAGCTCCCTCTTTTTTAGATGGTGTAACTGGAAATAAATGGGTGGGCATTCTCCTGAAGCAACCATTACCAATCCAATCCACGAAAGTATTTGATCATCTGTAACTCCATCCAGTCGCTCCATCCTGTGAAGTTGGCAATTATTTTTTCTTGTTAATATTAACATTATTGCTAGGTATGCATGAGAAGGCTGGGACTCAGAGACCAGCACCTTGCCTAAGTTTACCAGCTTGACAGAGTCAAAGTGGAACCTATGATTTTCCACCCCCAGTGCCCTTGTTCGGTCATGATGTCTCCCTTCCCTTTGGCATCAAGCAAGGCCAGCCCACCAGTGCTGGGATGTGGCAGAGGTGGCTGTCTATGTGATAAGAGAAGTGTCACAATGTCCATCAAGTCTGGTATTTCCTCCTCTTCAACCTGAAACTCTCAAGAGACTTGCACACAGCCACACCTGGTCCTGCCTCTGCTGGGTGGCTCGGCTTCCTCTCCTGGGCACAGGCAAGTGGCATCCCTCTGGCTGTACCCAGCAGTGGGCAGAAATATCTTAGCACTGTTCTTGAGCTGAGTTCTCTGTCCCAGGCCCCAGCGCCTGCAGAGAAGCTAGTCCTTGTCTTCCTCTATGCTTGACCCACACACTTCTATACATTTTAGATAATCATTAAAATAAGGAGCTGTTTCTCTGGCTGAATAGAGTTTACATCTATTCCATAATTATAGAATAGTAAAGAAAGATACTCTCCCTTCTTTGGGTAGCTAGGTGCTTGGGGTGGTGGTTGAACTTGTTACTCTGTCCCAAAAGTTCATTTTGGAGACAAACACAGGGTAGAGTTGTCAAGAAACATTTCTTTTTAAAAAAGTAATATAAGATTTTCCTTACTAGACAAAAAATATATATTATTAGTCTAGAATAATTTAAATAGTGTAACACTGAGACAATGGCCAGATGAATGAGGAAATTAGAATAAAGAATTCCATACTTCTAAGTAAAGAAAAATATGAGTTCTCCCCTGTGGCCTAGCAGTTAAGGAAGCCAGATCCTATATGGCTGACTGCAGTTCAGAGCAGGCAGCGTGAAACATGTTCTGGCCTCCCCCCAGTTCTTCATTTAAAAAAGAGCCTTCTCGGGGGCCAGCAGATGGCATTAATGGTTAAGGAGTTAGACTACCACATGGTCAATGAGGTTCGAGTCCCAGACCCAATGGCATGAAACCCACGCCAGGCATGTGTGCCCGTGTGCCCAAAATCCTGAGAAGAGAATGGAGGAGAAAGGATTACAGCATGACCATCCACCCCAGGGGGTAATTTCTCACTTCATCTCTCTTTATCTCTCTCTCTCTTTGGCAAGTGCACACTCCCTGTAGCAAAAAACTCTCAAAAATAAATAAATAATAAATAAAAAGAGCCTTCTCAGAGCCAGCAAGTGGCATGGTGGTTGCAACACTGGACTCTGACATGGCTGACCATGGTTGAAGTCCCAGACTCAGGAGCTTGAAAATCACTCTGGCCTCATGTGCATGCGTGACCAAAATCCCAGGAGGAGAATGGAGGAGAAGGGACTATGGAGTGGTCATACCCCCTGGGAGGTGATTTCTCACTTTCCCCTGTCTCTGTCTCTCTCTAGGGAGAAAAATAGAAAGCCCTTCTCTCTTCAAATGAGGAAGTACATTAAAACATAGGGTATAACTTGTTAAAAAAAAATAAAAGTTGTAATTTTATTCCCAACACAGTTCTATTTGGAACTCGCACCCATAAGACAGAACATTAGAGTTTAAAATCATGGACTGGAAATTTACTTGCCTCACTTTGTAACGCTGGGCAATGGGAGCTGTAACATGGGGTACTAGTGCGTACCCCTACGGGATGATTGGGAGATCTCAGTGATAGGATTTATATATAAACTTTGGTAAGGCCAGCAGGTAGCATGGTGGTTAAGGCACTGGATCCCACATGGCCAACTCCACTGTTTGAGTCCCCAGCCCAGCAACTTGAAAAACACACCAGGCACATATGACTGCATGCCCACATCCTGAGAGGAGAATGGAGAAGAAGGTATTGTTGCATCGCCATTTCTCCCGGGGAGTGATTTTCAACCCCCGCCCACCCAACCAGTCTGTCTCTCTCCGGCAAGCACACGTACTTTATGGCAAAAATCTAATAAAAACAGAACAAATAACAAAGCTTAGATCCTGAGACAGGCACTTACTAATTCTCTTAACAATGAATCTCTTTTAACTTCCTTAACAGAAATTATCCTTGCCAGGGAGAAGGGAGAAAAACTAAAAGAAGGGAACAGGAAGACAAAATAACTCATCTGTGATGCATTCATGATGCAGCCTCTCCTCCGTACGTCATTTCCGGCTTCCCCACCTCAGTCTGTGTGCTATGATACCGCTATGCCTTCAGTCCCTTCTTCCTGTGAATGGTGCGACCTCCGCACATGGCCGATGATGAAAGCAACTGTGACTTTTCAAAAGGTGCAGTTTCGTTTTCCCTCCGCAAAGCTCCCTCTTTTTTAGATGGTGTAACTGGAAATAAATGGGTGGGCATTCTCCTGAAGCAACCATTACCAATCCAATCCACGAAAGTATTTGATCATCTGTAACTCCATCCAGTCGCTCCATCCTGTGAAGTTGGCAATTATTTTTTCTTGTTAATATTAACATTATTGCTAGGTATGCATGAGAAGGCTGGGACTCAGAGACCAGCACCTTGCCTAAGTTTACCAGCTTGACAGAGTCAAAGTGGAACCTATGATTTTCCACCCCCAGTGCCCTTGTTCGGTCATGATGTCTCCCTTCCCTTTGGCATCAAGCAAGGCCAGCCCACCAGTGCTGGGATGTGGCAGAGGTGGCTGTCTATGTGATAAGAGAAGTGTCACAATGTCCATCAAGTCTGGTATTTCCTCCTCTTCAACCTGAAACTCTCAAGAGACTTGCACACAGCCACACCTGGTCCTGCCTCTGCTGGGTGGCTCGGCTTCCTCTCCTGGGCACAGGCAAGTGGCATCCCTCTGGCTGTACCCAGCAGTGGGCAGAAATATCTTAGCACTGTTCTTGAGCTGAGTTCTCTGTCCCAGGCCCCAGCGCCTGCAGAGAAGCTAGTCCTTGTCTTCCTCTATGCTTGACCCACACACTTCTATACATTTTAGATAATCATTAAAATAAGGAGCTGTTTCTCTGGCTGAATAGAGTTTACATCTATTCCATAATTATAGAATAGTAAAGAAAGATACTCTCCCTTCTTTGGGTAGCTAGGTGCTTGGGGTGGTGGTTGAACTTGTTACTCTGTCCCAAAAGTTCATTTTGGAGACAAACACAGGGTAGAGTTGTCAAGAAACATTTCTTTTTAAAAAAGTAATATAAGATTTTCCTTACTAGACAAAAAATATATATTATTAGTCTAGAATAATTTAAATAGTGTAACACTGAGACAATGGCCAGATGAATGAGGAAATTAGAATAAAGAATTCCATACTTCTAAGTAAAGAAAAATATGAGTTCTCCCCTGTGGCCTAGCAGTTAAGGAAGCCAGATCCTATATGGCTGACTGCAGTTCCAATCCCAGCCTTAGAGGTTTGAAAAACATGCCCCAAATTCCCAGAGGACAGGAAAATGGAGAAGAGACTCAACATAAACACACCCCATTGGGGAGTGCTCTCTCTCTCTCTCTCTCTCACTCACTCTCTCTCTTTTTTTTTCTCTCTCTCATGAGCATGCATGCATTTTCACAATTACATTTTAAAAAATAGCTTACACTAAAACATATAATTCCAATTATAATCTTAATGGCCAAAAGAATGCAGAAATTTAAAAAATGTCTTGGTTCTGGAAGCAAGAAAGATCAACCTTAAATGTCAGGCCCATAAAAGAGATTTCCACTGTCGATCAAACATAATGTAGGGGATGCAGTCAGCAGGTGGTATAGTGGTTGAGGCAATGGACTCTCATTAGGTCCACTGCAGTTTGAGTCCCAGACCTGACAGCTTGCTTTTTCACTTTCCCTCTCTTTCTCTCTGTCTCTTACTATCTCTCTCTGGCACACATGCATGCCCTGTAACAAATTTTAAAGGAATGGTAAGTAAAATTAAGTAAGTCATTCTTAAAATGGATATCTATATGTATATTGGGATGACACAGACAAGACACCAAACACTGTCCACCTGACACCTTCCAGAGATAACAAATATGGCCTCCAAGGAAATGAAAACGCCATGAACACCTGGTGTGTATAGATGGTTAGAACCAGAAGTGGTGAGAAGGCATGGACCAGATAGTCACCTGTGCAGTATGTTTTAGCTATTGTGGACCCATGGAGCTTTGCCAAGAGCTTGGGATGGAAATGGCCACCGCCCGCTGTAAGCAGGGAGGAAGGAGCTGCTCAGCAAAGCACCAAGAGGCATCCAGGCAGACAGCCAGGCAACAGCAGCGGGCAGTGGGGCCGGATGAAAAGGCAGCTTCGTGGGGAGCAAGGCTGGGGTAGGGACGTGTTTTATATGCAGTGAGAAGCAGCCATGGAGAGAGATGTGATTATTCAAGTTTGACCCTTGTCACAGAATCTTTGCCAACCCCGGAGAAGCCCCTGGGGGCAAAATCCACTGCTAAGACCATCCTGCACTTGTCTCGCTAGCCACTACCTTAGACTTAGGCCTGCAGTTTCAGTAGAAGGAAGAGTTACAGTAGTTCCCACGAGGTCAAAGCTACAAGGCCAAGGAATATGGGCCACCGAGCCACATCTTGGAAATGCCGAGAAAATCAGAATCAGGAAGACTATCTGCTGTTTATACCAAAAGCCTTCAAATGTGGCACTTGAATAGCCAATTCATTCAGTTTCAGGAGTATATCTTAAAGTGGTATTAAAGGTGTGGGGCCAGCAGGTGGTGCGTTGGTTAAGGCACTGGACTCCCACATGGCCGACCATAGTTCAAGTCCCAGACCTGGAGGCTTGCTTTCTTACTTTCCTTCTGTCTCTCTCTGGTCAAATTCAACAAATGATGATGATAATAAGTGAAGTAAAATAATTCTTAAAAAAAAGAAAGTGTAGTCAAAAATTAACTACAAAGAATACCCACTGCTGTTTTTTGGTTTTTGTTTTGTTTTTGTTTGTTTGTTTGTTTTTAGGGTCTTGTCATAGAGTGCATATATACCGGAGAGAGACAGAGAGGGAAAGTGAGAAATCATCCCCCAGGGAGATGGCCATACCACAGTCCCCTCTCCTCTATTCTCTTCAGATTTTGGACATGCATGCGCATGTGCCTGGCATGATTTTTCAAGTTGCCAGGTCTAGATTTGAATCGTTGTCAGCCACTTGGGAAGCCAGTACCCCAACCACCATGCCACCTGCTAGTCCTTTTTATTTATAATTCTATTTATTTTATTCAAGATAGAGTGTGTTCATGCTCACATGAGAGACAACTAGTAAGAGAAAGAGAGAAGAGAGAAGCACCCTCAATGGAGTGGCTTCATCACACCATGACCCCTTCTCCAGCCTTCTCCCTTATGGCGATCTTGGGTGCCCGCAGGCAGACAGTGTGTTTTCGGGCCAGGGATCTGAACCTGCAGTCAGCCATGCATGTGGCTTCCAGCACTGCAATTCAGTTTCCTACCAACTGCCCTGCCAGGCTAGACCCACTTGTGTTTTCATAACAACCTGGAAACAAACTTAATATCCAATAATGATCATGTGTTTTGATGACATACAGAATAGCTGGGAAAAAATAAAAGGAAAAGAAATACCCTGTGACCACCAAAATAATATCTTTTGAAAAATATTAAGTGACATGATAATTTACCTGTAGTATGTTGCTAATAAAAAGCATCTATGAAGAAAAATTTGCAATGTAATCCTACATGAACAGATTAGAAAAAGGACCACAACTTTATGAATCAAATACAAATTAGTTCAGAGACAGTATCTCAGTCCATTCAGGCTACTATAACAAATACCACAAACTGGTCATTTATACCCCCCCCAAAAAAAAAATATTTCTCATAGTTCTGGAAGTTGGGAAGTTCATCAAGGCACCAGCAAATTTGGAGTCTAATGAGGGCCTCTTTCCTAGTTCTTAGATGGCGATTTTTACTACTTCCTGTAACTGTGAAAGGAACAGGCATTTCTCTGGGGCCTCTTTTACAAAAGCACTAATCTCATTCATCAGGGCTCTGCCCATGACTGAATCACCTTCCCAAAGTCCAGCCTCTTAATACCATCACCTTCGGGGTTAGGATTTCAATATTTGTCTCTGGTGGGAGCACGTTCAGATCATAGCAGGTGAATACTTTTTCCTGGATATTTTTCTATGTTTTGTAAAGGTTTTGCATTGGAGTACATGTGGTTTTTACTTTCCACCCATTTTCTCTTTGCACTACTTTCAAAGAGAACAGTTCAGCTCAATCTTCCAGCTTACCAATTCACTTAGTTATATTGATTCCAATACTCCGCCTTCTATTTCAGTGTGTTTATTTTAATTAACTAAATTTTATCTTGCTCTTTATTGATTTTTCCATTTTTGATTTTTTTAAAAAAATGTACACATAACATAAAAGTTACCATAATCTTGCATCTCCAAAGATGTCGATTTGTTATTCCCACCTGGAGACACAGTCACGTCCTCCATAATCAATAACTGATCCAGTGTGGGCAGGGGAACAGCACCTCGTGGAGGTCAACCTCTTATTCAGGACCTCAACTAACAATCCTGTTAGGTTGAGTCTTTGACCCCCTCCCCCTCCTGGGGGAGGATTGTTGGCACAGTTATTCACTTGCATATCTTGGGATGTAGTTTTCCACTCCAATATCGTATTATTTTGGTGCCATAGATTACTCATATTTTTGATCCAATGAAGAATTACCTTTTTTTTTTTTTTTGAGAAAGATAATTTAGCAATGGGGCATGTACCCCTGCCAGAGACACAGAGAGAGACAGAAAGACAGAAAGTGAGAAATCACCTCCAAGGGGATGGCCACACTACAATCACTTCTCCTCTTGGGATTTTGAGCATGCACACACATGCAACTGGCATGAGTTTTAAACTGCCAGGTCTGGGACTTGAACCACAGGCCACTATGTGGGAGTCCAATGATGTAACATTATGCCATCTGCTAGTCCCGGAATTCCCTTCTTCTTTTCCAGAGAGATGGCATTTTTCTCCTCTCTCATGTCACCAACTGTTTAAAAATTTTTTTTTGTTCAAACCATTTGTGTGTTTGTGTGTGTGTGTGTGTGTGTTTGTGTATGTGTGTGTGTATTTTTCTCTTTGCATTTCTACTCATTTCATTCAGCTTCATATACGTCAAAATAGCTTAAAAAGTCTAGAGAGCTAAGAGTCTTCAGATTGGTTGATCTAACAGTGAGAGATCCCTACATACTTTTCTTTGTTATATTAGGATCTGCGGCAAGATCTATGATATTGAAAGACAAAATAATGGAATAGTCTTTACTATCGGTTGTCTAATGTGGAAGTTATTGAAGGAGAAC